AAGTCTGGGGCTATTCTGTGGTTTCTCAATGGTGCAGGATCTGGCTTCTTCTTGTCATTTTTCTTTAAATTTTTAAATATTTATTTATTTATTGTATATGTGTGTGGGAGGGTTGTGTACATTCCATGCTGTACATGTGGAAGAAAAAGGACACCTTGGGGGAATCGGATCTCTCTTTCTATCATGTATGCCCTAGGGATCAAACTCACGTTGTCAGGCTTCGTGGTAGATGTCTTTTCCAGCTGAGCCGTCTCACCAACCCCCTCCACTCCCTACCCCCATGTGCCTCTTGTAAAAGAGAGCTTTCTGCTGACCGTTCTGAGTATAAAGAGGTCATTTTCATTTAATTGTAATCACGATGGAGTTGGAATTATCATGGTGAAATACAGAAGGGATATATTCTGTTATGGACTTTCTCTCCCCAAATAGATGGTTTCCCACTGAATGAGTATCTGTCATAAAAATATTCCTTAGCTGGGCGGTGGTGGCGCACGCCTTTAATCCCAGCACTTGGGAGGCAGAGGCAGGAGGATCTCTGTGAGTTCGAGGCCAGCCTGGGCTACCAAGTAAGTTCCAGGAAAGGCGCAAAGCTATACAGAGAAACCCTGTCTCGAAAAACCAAAAAAAAAAAAAAAATTCCTTTGACTTCTAGTGCAAGTTAGAGCAATATGCACATGATCTCAGATAAAATGACCCTGTCAATGTCTTTACCATTTGCATAAAGCTACTTGTAATTTTCATTTTAACTTTTGACACTTTTTCTCTCCATAAATAGAAGTAATGCCTGATGTTTAGTTATAGTAAAAGAATAGGAAAAAAAAGTCACTGCCTTAACTAATTGGGAAAGCACTCTTCGAGACAAAAGGTGGGCGGGCTCACAACTTGAACTCCACAGCTAAGCGCTCAGACTCTTTCCTGGGGAATGTGGGTTCTTCTGTGAGGACAACTGCTCCAGGCACCTTCTTTTGTAGCTCTCAGGAACATCTTTGTTCCCTATTACTTTACCACGCACATGGACACAGCCACCACGGCCCTGGTCCCATCACCCAGTCTGGACTGGGCTTCCTCCTCAACCTTTCCCAGATGCCATCGGCTCTAAAGGGGACAGAGAGAGTGAGGACAAAAAGGGGGGGAGGGGATGCCCCCCCAACAAGAGGACCCCACTCAGTCCTGGTAATCACAAGGGTCCAGTAGCTGTAGCCTCGCTACCCTGTTCTCCTTGTTACGAGTGTGATGGCTAACACCAACTGTCAACTTGACAGGGTCCAGAATCACCTAGGACATCAAGTACTAGGTACATCTGTGAGGGAGTTTCTAGATTGGGCAAACTGAGGTAGGAATTCCCCTCCTGACTGTGCATGGCACTGTCCCATGGGGTAAATTAAAAGGGAGAAGGCCAGCTGAGCACTGCTTTCCTCTCTCTGCTTCCTGACGGCAGAGGCACTGTACCCATATGCCTCGGGCCCCTGCCACCGCGGCTTCTGCACCTTCATGGGCTGCACCCTTAAACCATTAGCCCGAAGTAAATGCTTCCTTCCTCAAGTTGTTTTTATCCCAGTTTGCCACAGTAATGAAAGGCACATAATGAATACACTACCAAGCATTTCCTCTGCTGAATGTTCATAGCTTCGGGGAAGCGGAAAGAACTCTTCAATCACATGCATAAAAATGAAATCCATCCAAAAGCTAATACAGGGCTCATAGTCCAAATTTAATGAGTATATCAACATGTCTGATACAACGATTTTGTATCAGACCCAAGATCTAACCAAGTCCATTCCTAACATTTCACATTTAGTTTCTTGTTTAACTTACCAACAACAGAAGTTAATCCTGTTCTTAAGACCATCAAATTCGTGGTGAGGGATTCTGGCCAACCGTTCTGTAGAATGTCCTGCATTTTGGACCTTTCTGTTCCCTTATCATTAATTCAGTTATACAATTCATCTTGAAGATTACACAGGTCCTGTGTGTACGTCTTAATCACATCCCTTCGGAAGTCCCCTAACAGAGGGTTGTCATCTGCTGGTAATGCTGGGTTGGGTCACCGGGATGAAATTTTACTCTAAGGTTCACGGTTCCTTTACAGGCTATACTTTCAGACCATATGAATATCCGCATTCAGTGACAATGTTTAACTAACTAGTTTCTTAACCATTGGGCCTGCCTGGAAATTCCAAAGCAGGTTGTCTAGACTAGTTAGTGTTCTATAGCAAGCTGCCCTTCCCTTTCCCTCTATGCCTCTCAGCTATCACTAGTGTTGTAGATTTTTATTATTATTCAATATATCATAATCCTTTGTAGGTTGAGTGTCCTTTATCTCAAAATGCTTAGGACCAGAGCTTCAGATGTTGGAGTTGTTTACACTTGGTTGGGGATTTTTGTACAGACTGTACCAGTCAGGCATGTCTATCCACCAAAATTCAAAATCCAAAATGTTCCAAAATCCAACTCATTATGAGGCTCATAGGAGTAGAACTGTTTAGCTGGCATACACCTTTAATCCTAACACACAGGAGACAGAGGCAGGCAGATCTCTGTGAGTTTGAAGCCAGCCTGGTCTACAGAGTGAGTTCCAGGACAGTCAGAGCTGTTACACAAACAAACAAACAAACAAACAAACAAACAAACAAAAAAAAAAACCAGGAAAAAGAATGGGGCTATTTAACTTGTGCTGATCTTAATATTTTTGGTGTTCAAGCTATGTCCAATTTAACCAGAAAGAGATATCAGGGATGGAGAGATGGCTCAGTGGTTAAGAGCAACTTCTGCTCTTCCAGATGACCAGGTTAGATTCCCAACACCCACATGGCGGCTCACAACCATCTGTAACTCCAGTTCCAGGGATCTGATGCCTTCTTCTGGCTTCCCTGGACACTAGATAATGCATGTGATCCACAGACATTCATACAGGCAAAACACACATACACATAAAATAAAAATAAACAACTTTTTATTTAAGAAAATAAAATAAAACCATCCCCTAGGGCCTTGGCTAGGACCTCACTGGTGCTGCCTGAATTTCCAGGTCTACCCAGTCCTCCCCGCCTCCTGGAACCAGGACTCTTGCAGCTGCTGTGGGTGAGACACTTCCTCTCCCCTGCAGCAGGTCAGACTTTACATCTCTCATGGCTCCCTGGCCATAACTCCACCATCTGCCTTCCTCCCTCCTTCCTCCGCCCGTCATTTGCCATTGGCCTCGCTCGTCACGGGTAACCAGTGAAGAAGAGGGAGCTGGGACGATGGCTCCCCTGGCGAAGGGCTCACCCTGCAACCATGAGGACCTCAGTTCGGATCAGCACCCACATTACAGAACAAAGCAGGGGTGAGTGGGTGGACAGAGGCAAATCCATGGCAAACTGGTAAGGTTTGGGTTCAGACAAAGACCCCATCTCAAGAAATGAGGCCAGGCACAGTAATGCATGCCTGTAACCCCAATACTCAGGAGCCAGAGGCAGGCAAACTCTATGAATTTGAGGGCAGGCTGTTCTACAGGGAGTTCCAGGTCAGCCGGGACTACATAGAGAGATCCTATCTGAAAAAGGAAAAAGCAGTCTAGAGAAATGGCCCAGTGGTTTAAGAGTAATTCTTGTTCTTGCAGAGGACCCGGATGCAGTTCCCAACACCCACATGGTAGCTCACAACCATCCATAACTTCAGTTCCAAGGGATCCAACATCCTCTTCTGACTTATAAGGGCATCAGGCACGCATGTGTTGCTCATACGTACATGCAGATAAAACACCCATACACGTAAAATAAAATTTGAAAATTTTGAGAGAGAGAGAGAAGAAATAAGGTGGAAAACAAGTGAGGAAGGCACCCAATGTCTGTCACTGGCCACCACAGGCACATGTAGACATACATGAACACACATACACACACACACACACACAAAGTTGGGAGAAGAGCGCCATAAGACAGGAGAAACACATATACACAATAAATTCTGGGACACTATCAGCCTCTTACCCGTCTACAGGGAGCTTCCTTGTTTATGGTTCCTGGCATTACTGGTTAACTCAAAAGTGAAGCTTGCATTTCAAGAAGTCACGACCTCATGATTCTGCCTATGAAATTTATAACCTATTATTTCATTTTATGTTCATATAAAATACCCACCATAAGGAGGACTGCCCAGTGTCTGGGCTGCCTATCCCTTTCTCTTACGCTGTCTCACTAGAAAGCACATCATTATTTTGTTTGCTTTCATTCTCAGCCCACGAGGATATAAGCTCCGTGAGTGACAGCCATTGCCTTGTTTACGGCTATGTTCACCACTCGAGTCCTAGTGGATGAAATTTACCACGTGCCAGTCATGGCTTAGGAATGAGAAATGGCGTCACCTGGAACACAGGTGGAGAGGTAAGCCGGCCCTCCCATGTATTTGTTAAGTCTGCACCTCTACCCCCTGCCAGGGTCCCTTAGCATCATCTCTATGTTCCCAGATAGGAACACATGGGACATGGCACCACCACGGTTTCTTTAGATACCTCTCCCACCTGAAAAGCTGCAAGCCCCTCTAACGCAAAGGGAAGCGCACGGCCATCTGATCTGTACGGTGCCAGCACTCACTTCAGAAATGACAGAGAAATGTTCGCAGATTTCCTCTTGTCTCCAGCCAAGAGCACACTCAGCTGCCCGCTGGGCTCTTCCTGCTGGCTAGAGCCAGGCCTGCATACAACCTGTCGCTCCAGTGCTCACAAAAGGCCCTTTGACTCCACCGCAGGGGCATTCCAGGAACTTCCCTGCCACAGCACCTGTCACTAAGTCCAGTGTCCCCACAGCTGCGAGGCTACACAGAGCCCCAGTGTTCCCCCGGGGAAACGAGGTCTGGGCCCAACCAAGGCTGCAGAGGCAGCTGGGAGAGCGTGTGGAAGGCTGGGGGCCTTTTCTTCAGCAGTGATCAATGCATAACTTGGAGAACAGCCTTGGTGAGGGATGGAGAACACGTTTAACATAGAAGACCAGCCACGGGCCCTGGCCTCCGAGAAGGCTCACCTGGTCTTTCCTCTCAATCTTCTTTTCTGTTTGCTGGGGCACTGGACTCTCAGGAGGCACAGTCAGCCGCAGTCTGCAGACATTTGCCTAAGAGAAGTGGAAGACAGTCCAATTAGCATGGGCGTTGGGGGCAGGAGTCAGGGACCCTGGGCCTTCTCTCTGACTATTCCACGGTAATGGGCTCACCACACCATACTGATGGCACCGGAAGGAGGCTGAGAGTGAGACCAGCATGGCCTGGCATAGGTGCCCACCAACAGCATCCACCAGTAGCCTACTGCTCAAACAAGGAGCTATTAAATACCTGCAGAGATTTTTTTTTTTTCGAGACAGGGTTTCTCTGTAGCTTTGCGCCTTTCCTGGATCTCACTCTGTAGACCAGGCTGGCCTCGAACTCACAGAGATCCGCCTGCCTCTGCCTCCCAAGTGCTGGGATTAACGGCATGAGGCACCACCACCCAGCTAATTTCAAACATTTTTAAATGGCTCGGGTTTCATAACAATATGCCTAAAATGGTCTCATTTCACAGATAAAGGCCAAAATTCTACTAGAGAGATAGACGCCAATTACATGGGGCAGTTACTTCTTGTCTAAAGTCTAAGATTTCCGGTGATGGGGTAGGAGGTTATTCTCTGTTTTTCTAGCCTATGCATTTAACTTTTTCTACAACAGACATGGAAATGCTAATCACAAGGTTTCTATTTTATATGTTGTGTGTGCATGGGTGTGCACGCAGGTGGCAGGGCAAAGGCCAACTCTGTGGAGTCAGCGCTCTCCGTTCACCTTTTTGTGGGTCCTGAACACCTGTCACTGACCTCTGAGGAACTCCTGTCAGGTTATAAAGGCTGTCAATAAAGTTCACTGAAATTTTGGAATAAAGGCCAGTAGTGGTGCAGACCTTTAATCCCAGCACTTGGGAGGCAGGGGCAGGTGGATCTCTGTGAGTTCAAGGCCAGCCTGGTCTACATAGAAAGTTCCAGGACAGCGGAAGCTACATGGTCAGACCGTGCCTCAAAAACAAACAAAATATAATCTATACATATATACACATATATACACACACACATACATACATACATACATACACATATATACACACACATGCATATATATACACATATATACACACATATACATACATACATATATACACATACATGCATACATACATATATACACATATATACACACATACATACATACATACACACATACATACATGTATGAATAAAGGTTCCTAAGTGGTTTTCAAAAGGCCAGCTCTGGGGGTGTGGCTCCATGGTAGAACTCTGGTATAACACACAGGAGGCTCTGGGTTCAAGCTCAGTACTGCAGAGCCAAGCCAAGCCAATGAGAGAGAAAGTCTAAATTACACTATTCCTCTTCAAATTAAACACAAAAGAAGCATTAAAGCAGCCACTGAGGAGAACTACAGCTTGTGTGATTTGCCAAGAGTCTGGTGACAGCCGGGGATCCTGAGCAGTCATTTTCCTGACCCCTAGAACTAAAAATAGGCCAGTGAACCAGTGACAAGGCAGTGACAACATCAGAGGCTACGCACCCACAGGACTTGCCGGGGGCCGGGAACAGCCAAGTGACCCCAAAGTCATTTAATACTGAACATAATCCTGTGGAAAAGGTCCTCTTACCAGGCCTACTGAGTGGTTAGGAAGTCGTCTCCAGTAAGGGGGGGTGGAGGTCCCACACTAGGACACAGCAGAGCTAAGACTTGAGCCTGGTCAGTCTGCAGAGCCTGGGCTCTTCGCCTCCACATTCTCTGCCACCACACCCCTGAAACACCATATGGGCCTGACTCACGGGAGGACTGCTCGTCCCGTGCTATACATTAAGTTGTGCCCCACCATAATTCAATGTATGTCCTAACCCACAGGACCTCAGAATATGGCCTTATGTAAGTATACAGCAGTGGTTCTCAGCCTTCCTAATGCTGTGACCCTTTGATACAGTTCCTCATATTGTGGTGACCCCCCAACCATAAAGTTATTTTCATTACTACTTCATAACTGTAATTTGGCTGCTGTTATGAATCTCATGTAAATCTTTTTGAAGATAGAGGTTTGCCAGAAGGGTCATTAACCACAAGTTGAGAACCACTGGTATAGAGTATTTTGCTTTGTTTTGTCTGAGACTGGGTCTCAGGTATCCTAGATTAGTCTGGAACTTGCTACGTAGCTAAGGGTAACCTTGAACTTTCAGATCTTCCTACCTCCACCTACCAAGTGCAGGTCTTATGGATCATGCACCACCATGCCTGGTTGATGTGTTGGGAATGGAACTCAGGGCCTTGTGTGTGCTATAAGCAAGCTCTGTCAACTGAGCTACACGGTGTCTTTACAGAGTCAATCAAGGAAAAATGAGATCACAGGGGTAATCCTTATCCAACATTGGTAAAGTTATAAAAGTGGGAATTTCAGAGACAGAGGTACAAGGAGAACACCTCAGAACCATTAAAATGCTCATCTAATCCAGGTCTGGCCGTGCTGGTCCACAACCTCAGCTACCTGGGAGGTAGAGGCAAGCGTACAGTGACCTGAAGGATTGCTTGGAGACAAAATGAGTTCAAAGCCAGCGGGAACAACTTTGTGAGCCCCTCTCAAAAAACTGCAAGGCTGGGCATCATGGCATGTACCTTCAATCCCAGCACCCAGAGAGTAGGGACAGGGGGATATTTGTGAGTTCAAGACCAGCCTGGTCTACATAGCAAATTGCAGGCCAGCCAGGATTATACCCCTGTCTTAAAAAAACAAAACCAGAAAATCATTGCCTAGCATGTACAAAGCCCTGGGTTTTGTTTCCTATCTTCTCCTATAAAACATACGATGCAGTTTCAAGGTACGTTTCTATCCTTACTTTCTTCTGTGAAAGCTTCATCTTCCAGTGACCTCAGGATGGAGCTGGCCTGACACCCAGGGCTATCTTTGTCCCAGCCAACTTACAACCAGCTTTCAATGCTCACAGCCAGACATGTTGGCCAAGAGGAGAGCAAGCCATTCTACCGGGTAGCTCTTTCCGGATGGGCAGCAGCACCAATGGAAATCTGGGCGTTGCCTGTGGAGAAAAACAGCCTTCTGCCTGCAGGCCACTCCACCTGGCTAAGACCAGACTGGCATTCACAAACATTAAAGTGTAAGCCACACCAGGCAGACCATGCAAATCTGTGATTCCCAGCGATCATTTCTGTCAGGCTGCATCTGACCCAGGGCCTATCTGTTGGCAGAAGAAAGGAGGTACGTTTCTACTGCGCCATATCCCATACACACATGGGGGTGCACACACATGTATATGCACTCACATGCACAAATGCATACATGCACACAGGCTCCAACATCCACTAGCTAAGTGGCTATGGGAAAATCTGTTCTCTGAATTTCAAGAGTAAGATGAAATTAAGTGGAAGGCATATTTCTATAAATAATAAGATTTTGTGTGTATGTGTGTGTGTGTGTGTATCCACATATATACACACATTTATGTTTAAAAGTATGCACACACACACACACACACGCCCCAGCATGAGGCTGTCAGAGAACAGCCTCGGTGTCAGCCCTTGCTGCCATGTTTGAGGCAGAGCATCTTGGCTGTTGGCTGCTGCACACACCAGGCTGGCGGGCCCGTGAGCTTCCAGGGATTCTCCTGCCTCCACCTCCCATCTCTGTGTAGGAGTGCTGAGGTTACAATTTTTAAGTGGGTTCTAAGGATTCAGACTCAGGTCCTCACACTTGCTCACCAAGGGCTGCACTGGCTGAGTCACCTCCCTGGCCCTGTTAAAGTATTTTTATTATTATCTAGATACTATCGCTGTGCCCTCAACCTACATGCTCCAAAACAAAACAGGTCTGCTCAGCTTCCTGACCCTTGTTTCCATGGAAACTATTTGAGCACTGGGATTGGGGACATGAGATGGTAAACAATGTTTTTTCACTGGCTGATGGGTCCTAGAGGGGCATTCCCTAACGGCCATACTTTTCAGGAAAAAGACCTTCCGCATTCATTCATCCAAAAGTGAGATGGGCCTTCACCACGGTTGTACCCATAGTCCGCTGGCCCTCCCAGAACTCTGACATTCCTCCACACACTTCCCAGAGTGGGCAGCTATACCGCATCCATCAGCCTGGGCTGTGAGCCATGCTCACCCTGAAGTACACAAAGCCAACAGTAAACACAATACGTAAAAATGAACTGAGGCTGCAAGAGAAAAGATTTGGCTTCAAAGTGCTTAGGCAGTTGCAGCAGGTGCCCGGGGCTACACCCTCGGGGCCTATCTGAAACATTGTTCCCATCAACAGAGGCTGGATGGGAACATTAAAGACCGCAGCTACTGTTAAGAGATGCTGACCCACTCATGACCCACTGTCAACAGGGCAAAAGCAACTGAACCCCAGCTTGGAGCAGGATCACACAGCTCCCGAACAGACAGATGATCCCAGTAAAACTAATCCCATTTCTGCTTTTAAACACACTCTTACAATGAATGTAGATTCAAAGGGGGGTAATACACCCTTAAGGAACCACAACTGTTAATGCTGCTTATCTCCCACCCACCCCCCACCCCGCCCCAAGTGGGTGGGTTCTGTGTTGCTTGCAACGGTTTCAAGTAGTTTTCAAACTAAAATAATAACACGGGGCTGGAGTTCAATGATTAAAAGCATTTTTCCCCCAATCATGAAGACCGAAGTTCAGCTCCAAGCGGCCATGTAACAAGCTAAGCATCCCCTCCACACTAGTAATCCAGTTCTGAGGGGGATGGAGACAGGAGGATTGCTTGCAGCATATCTGAACAAGTATGAGCCCCAGGTTTGGGGAGAGAGTCTGCCTCAAAGGAATAGGTGGAGGGTTACAGAGGACACCAGATGTGCACTCTCTTCTGACCTCCTCATTTATGTACAAGAGTGCACATCACACACACATACACACACATACACACACAAATATAGTAATAACAATAATACAAATTAAAAGAGAATATGTATGGAGGGGCTGCTAATTCTTCCTAAACTGGATAGCTTCAGGGACAGCAAATGAAATATGCTAGGGGCCTATGAGGTATTCTGAATTCCTGATAAAA